TGATCCAGTAGTCGCTGTTTTGGAAGAGCCGGTTGTTGCTGTCGATGTGGTGGTACCTTTGCCACGGACCGATGTTGCCAAACGACCGCCTCCGCCCGCACAGCCAGCCCCGGTGTTGGATGGCTCAGATGTTGAGCCTAATGAAGTTGATAAAGCATTGTTCCCCCCTTTGAAGATTCGCGTTTCTCCGAAGCATCTGGTTAAACCGATGAAGCGGTTTAATGCTTGCCAAAGGATAATGTTTTTAGTGGCATCGTTTGTGTGTTCCTGGATGTTTGTTTGGTTTACCAATTTTCACGTTAACATTGCGTGTTACATATGTATCCCATATTTCACTTTCAATTTGTGGTTGTTTTTTTTCCCCCTCTGGTTTTTTAACGGTCGTGCGAATATGTGTGCCGCGTAATGTTAAGATTTAGTCTAGGCCTCTTATTTTTTCATGGTTTGTGTTTATTTGTTTTTCCTAGTCTTAAGGTTCAGGTGTAACTGTTCTTTTCTTTTTGGCTTTGTATGAGTATTTAAACTCTTGTGGTTACAATCAATAAATTACTGAAACTCACTTTCATACATGGTATTATCACAGCCATTACTCTAACGAGAAAATAATCAATTTTTTTACCCCCTCTCTTTAATTTCCCATGGCTGCTTCCACTACCTCAAATATCGTTCATGTTCATGCCACCACCCACCTCCCAATCAAACTTACCTCAGCCAATTTTCCGATTTGGAAGACGCAGATTGAATCCACGCTTATCGGCCTTGACCTGCTTGGCTATGTTACCGGTTCCACAGCTGCCCCGGCTAAGTATTCCGATGCAGCTCGCACTGTGTTGAATCCGGCCTACACAAATTGGTTCAGACAGGACCAGATTATTCTCAGCGCGATCTTGGGTAGTCTCTCCGATGTGCTGCAACCGGTCATTTCGTCTGCCACCTCTGCGCATGATGCGTGGACTCGTCTATCCACTAATTGTGTCGCTGCGTCTCGGAGTCGAGTAGTTTCGTTGAAAGCGAAACTAGCCAAAAACCCCAAGGCCAACTGGTCAATTGAGTCGTATATGAGGGATATGCGAGCCATTGCCGATGACCTGGCCCTTGCTCAAAGCCCTGTCGCTGAAGAAGACCTCGTAGTGCATATATTCACGCAACTGGGCGATGAATACAACCCGATTGTGGCAGCTCCGCGGGTACGCACAGATCCTGTTTCATTTGGTGAAATGCATGACGTGCTCACCGACTACGAGAGGTTGTTGAAAGATAATGAAACAGCCTCCCAAATTCATATGCCGACTGCTAACGCTACTCAACGGCGTTTTAATGGCTCGGCTGACGCACAAAACACCAATCGGCGAGGTCGAGGTGGCTTCACGTCTTCAGGGGGCCGCCATATCCAGTCACAGTCTTTTGGGAACCGGCCAGCAAGATACTGCAATTACTGTGACTATCCTGGGCACGACACAAAATTTTGCAGGAAGCTAGCCAAATTTCTAAAAGAAAATAATGTGGTTGTACTCGAGCCGCAAGGTATCGGGCGTCAATCCCCTACGGTTCATACTACTTCTACCACGACTCCGCCCACACAATCGTGGCTCATGGACACAGGGGCCTCGCATCACACAGTGAATGATGCCATGTCCCTACACTCACTGTCGGACTACACCGGGCCTGATGAGATAATGCTGGGTGATGGTAAGTCTCTCTGAATCTCACATACTGGGTCAGTTTCAATTCCTTCAACTATTCGGTCACTTCTGTTGTCTAATGTATTGTGCGTTCCTAGTCTCCAACAAAATCTTATTTCAGTTTCAAAGTTGTGTAAGACTAACTCTGTCTCGGTTGAATTCTTTGACATGCATTTTGTTGTCAAGGATCGGCAATCAGGAACTCCTCTCGTACAGGGTCCAGTCGTGAGTGATGTCTACAGCTTCCCAGCTCAACAGTTTCAAGTGAATATAACCACCAAGTCCTCTTTGTCACGCTGGCATCATCAGTTTGGTCACCCTAGTTCAAATATTTTGGCTTGTTTGCTTAGAAACAATAATGTATATTTTAAGCCTGACGAACTTAAAATGTTTGCGTGTACCTCTTGTCACATCAATAAAAGTCACAAAATTCCATTTTCCTTTAGTTCAATGTCTAGTACCCGTCCGTTGCAATTAGTTTACACAGATGTGTGGAGCTCGTCAACGACTTCGGTTGACGGGTTTAAGTACTATGTCAATTTTTTCAACCACTACACTAGGTATGTATGGTTGTTTCCCCTCAAACTCAAATCAGATGTCTACAGTACATTTTGTCAGTTTAAACGTATGGTCGAGAATTTCTTTAATTATAAGATTGTCTCGGTCTATTATGATAATGGAGGCGAATATGTCAAATTGACACCTCTATTTACTACTTTGGGAATCTCTCATTATACTACACCTCCTCACACTCCGGAACACAACAGTATGGCTAAACGTCGGCACAGGCACATAGTCGAGAGCAGTATGGCGCTTTTACATTATGCGTCCATGCCCTCTTCATTTTGGACCTATGCCTTCCAAACATTGATCTATCTAATAAATCGTATGCCTACTCCCGTTCTTAATTATTCCACACCATATGCAAAATTATTTCAGAAACCACCCAACTATAGAAAAATACGGTCGTTTGGATATTTGTGTTATCCCTGGCTAAAGCCTTATTTTCCAACAAACTTGGGTCCTAAATCCCTACCGTGTGTCTTCTTGGGATATTCCTTGAGTCAATCTGCATATAAATGTTTAGAAGTCAGTAGTGGTCAAATATATGTCTCGCGTCATGTTACGTTTGTTACTAATGAATTTCCCTATCGTGACTTAGTAGCTTCTGGACTCTCATCTGCGCCCCAGTATTTGAGTTCGGATGAACCTCTACCTTCCCCTATATCTTGCGATGCAGGTACTGTTTGTCTACAGCCACTAGAGACTCGCTGTGCCGGCTCTCTCCCACCAGCGGCTACAGCGTCGGTCTCAACTGCGGCTTCCTCACCCACCACGACTCAACCACCGCTGCCTGTGGAGGCTCTGATAGCCGCGTTGACTGGTGGTGCGTTGCAGCTTCACCCAGCGCTGCAGCTCACTGGTTCAGAGTCGTCTGTATCCGCCATGCCCACTGGACGGTCCTCGACGCCTGACTCACCGGCTGCAGCTTCTCTACCGGCTGAAGATCATCGGCAACGAGAGGGGCCAGTAGAGTTCGCATTTGCTGAGGCGGCAATGTCAGTTGCTGGTTCCGTGGACTCTATGGTAACGTCCTCGGTTGATCAACAGGTGGGGGTTGTCCCGGTGCAGAGGTCCACTAGGCCGCGCCGACCGAATCCCAGGTATTATGGAGATAAGTTTGTCAATCTCACGACTTCACATCCTGTTGCTTCTTCCTTGGAACCGCGCACTGTCAGCCATGCTTTGAAGGATGACTTATGGCGGGCTGCTATGACGGATGAGTTTACTGCGCTAGTGAGGAACTGCACCTGGGAGTTAGTGCCCCGGGACAATAACAATGTCATTAGCTGCAAGTGGGTGTTCCGGGTGAAGCGCAAGGCCGATGGCTCTGTGGACAGGTTCAAAGCCCGACTGGTTACCAAGGGCTTTCTACAAGAACCAGGGCGTGACTAGTTTGAGACCTTTAGTCCAGTAGTTAAGCCGGTTACTGTTCGTGTCATTTTGAGTATAGCTTTGTCACAGGGCTGGGCGTTACGACAACTGGATGTCAATAATGCCTTCTTGAATGACACACTCTATGAAGAAGTCTACATGCAACAACCGGCGAGTTTTGTTGACGAATAGCGCCCGGATTATGTTTGTCGATTAAAGAAGGCGATTTATGGTTTAAAACGGGCCCTGAGGGCTTGGTATATTGAATTATCTGATTTTTTAGTTTCTATGGGTTTTAAGAAATCTGTAGCAGACACGTCCTTATTTGTTTATTGCTCCAGTAGTGCCACTCTGTATTTTCTGGTCTATGTCGATGACATAATTGTAATAGGAAATAATGAAGCATTTGTCGCTGCCTTTATCCGGCGGCTAGCAGATCGCTTCTCTTTGAAGGATTTGGGACCTTTACATCATTTTTTAGGTGTTGAGGTGGTGTCTACTACATCTGGCATGTTTTTATCACAAAGCCAGTATGTGGTCGATATTCTGGAGCAGTTTACTATGAGGGGGGAGAAACCTGTGTCTACTCCGATGTGTTCATCCACTGATTTACATACAGATGCCACGCCGTTCGACTCCACTACCTACCGCCGGGCAATTGGTCGTTTGCAGTACCTGGCAATCACAAGGCTGAATATTTCCTTCACAGTGAATCGCTTGGCTCAGTTTATGGCGTCTCCGACTAAGAGTCACTGGCAAGCTATGAAGCGGGTTCTGCGTTATCTGAAAGGTACTCTGCACTTTGGTCTATATTTCAGGCGTGGCTGTCCACTCACTCTTGTTTCTTATTCGGACTCTGACTGGGGTGGTGTTCGTGATGGGGGTCGTTCTACCACGGCCTATTGTGTGTTCTTTGGCTCGAATCTCATTTCCTGGAAGTCTACAAAACAGCGTTTAGTTTCACGTTCCTCCACGAAGGCTGAGTTCCGGGCACTTGCCAATTCTGTTGCTGAAGTTATGTGGGTTCAGAGTTTGTTGTGTGAGCTTGGGGTTTGCCTGCAATCTACACCGTTGTTAGTCACTGACAACCTAAGTGCTTCATATGTGTGCAGAAATCCGATCTTTCACTCACGGATGAAACACTTGGCAATTGACTATTTTTTTGTGCGTGAACAGGTTACTACGGGTTCCCTACGCATTCATTATGTCCGTTCCACTGAGCAGGTGGCTGATCTTCTGACTAAACCTCTTAATTTGCGTTTGTTCACGGCATTCCGATCCAAGCTTGGGCTCACTGATGGAGCCTCAATCTTGCGGGGGCGTGTTAATATTTAGTCTAGGCCTCTTATTTTTTCATGGTTTGTGTTTATTTGTTTTTCCTAGTCTTAAGGTTCAAGTGTAACTGTTCCTTTCTTTTTGGCTTTGTATGAGTATTTAAACTCTTGTGGTTACAGTCAATAAATTACTGAAACTCACTTTCATACACGTACTACGCACTTAACGGTGCACAGAGTTGCATACGCACCATATTTTATTTGATAATAACTCTTGCTTACAGTGTAATGCATTCACCTATTCACAACTACGCACAAAGCATAATTTCAAATACAAAATAATTGTCACGTCGTGCAAACATGGGTGCCAGCACAAAACTAACCTAAATTCAAGAAATAAACCCAACAAGTACTATGCAGTAACTTGTATTCACTAATGCACCGGACGACACATGCTTTTATTCAGCCACAACGATATGCACCGACTGGTCACCTGCTACGCACTCACAGCCCTTCGTTTTCTCCTCAAAGCTTGTTCACGCCACGGTCAGTCCAGCAGCCTTTGTAAAGAGGAGAGAGTATTAATTTCCTTTTAAAAACTCCCTAATATAATGCTTCACATTCCAATCAGAATATATCCATAAACAAACATAAATATACAATTACTATTATCTCCCTCTCATTGAGAAATGTCCTTAATTACTACCTAAATCCCTTATAATCTCAACCATTCATGGTAATAAAATCAATGGATATTAGGAGGGCTCATGGTCTCATCTACTATAGGGGTTGCACTGGATTCGAAGCCTAAGGTATATATATATATATATATATATATATATAAAGGTAATTACAACCAAAATATATATTTTGTTTTTAACACACACACACACACACACACACACACACACACACACACACACACACACACACACACACACACACACACACACACATATATATATATATATATATATATATATATATATATATATATATATATATATATATATATATATATATATATATATATATATATATATATATATATATATATTGTATGCTTTTATATGATAGAATTCTTTAGGTAATTTACTAAAATTATTCTTTCCATTAATTACTAAGTTGACTAGGGTTCCATTAATTACTAAGTTGACTAGGGTTGGATGATGATCAATATAGATATTCTCTTCCTTCTTTTTTCCTACCTTGGCCGATTCTACTAGCAAAAGAAAATAAAAAAAAAAATTCATCTCTTCTTCACATCTCTTCATTTTCGAAATTCTAAAAAAAAAAAGAAGAAATTCTTCTCCTATTATCCTCTAAGAGTTGAAACAATCGACACAGGCCTAAGGAGAAGAACTTAGAGGATTAAAAGATTAAAAAGATTTGGGAAGAATTTGTTCCAAGTAAGTGGTTGTCCTTTTATCTTACTTTGTCCATCTTTGTTTTTTTTTTTTTTTAAATGAATTTTTGATTGGTTGAAAGTTATGAATCAAATGAATTATTTTATGAAATGACCAAGTGTTATCTGAAAATTTTGGTTTGATGTGTATTAGTAAAAAATGCATAAATATGAGATTTTGGTTGGTTGATTTTGTTGTATGAATCATATCTAGATAAATTATATTCATAATAGTTGAAATATATATTTTTTAGTATTGAACATGTATTATGCTAAAAAAAAAAAGTGTAATGTTTGATTTATTATATGTTCTGTACTTACACATATATATACTTTCGCATGTATTTTGTATATAAAAAAAATTATTTTATTATTATTGAATGACATACGTGTGTGTGTGTGTATAACTATCGTATTTTACACACACACACACACACACACACACACACACACACACACACACACACACACACATATATATATATATATATAAAAGTATATATATTTCCTGTTGTGACCTTTCTTAAATTAATTTACTCAATTATTGATATTTATCTTAATTGCAAAATAAACTTCAAGAAGAGGGAGAGAAGAATACAGAAAAGATTTCATCTGCACTTCTACCACTTGTTGAGCATTTTGATTTGGTATTAAAAAGAAAGTCAAGTTATGCACGTGGTTTAGGTTTTCAGAGAATAACTTCAAAAGTCCAGGAGAAAATTCCTCTTCAAGCAGAAATAGAAGCTTCAAAGAAGCGTTAAAAGAATTTAGAAGAAGAAGTTGCAAAATTTAAAGAAATCGCACAAGTAACTTTAGAGAAACAAGCTGTTGAAATCAAGCAAATTTTTGCTCACTTAGCAAGCAATCAAGGGCTTCAAAAATAATTCTCACAAATAAGTACAACTATTGTGACTAAAGTGTTGTCACAATAAAATAATTAATTGAACAATTTTAGTTGTCACTAGATCAATTTTTTGCAATAACATATTTGGTCTCAAAGTATACATTTATTGTGACAAAAGTAGTGAGCAATTGTGACATCTTTTCAAAAGTTGTCACTACTACAATAGTGACGACTTCAAAAATTGATCACTAATTTCACATAAATTGATAGTTTCACCAAAATCAATGAAATTCAGCAATATAATGATATATATAATTTGACCTCCTTCAATTTTTGTTTATTGGTCATTTTTGTATTCTGTACCGCATGTGAATGTACCTATTATTGAACATTTTTGTATCATATTAAACATTTTTGTTTATTGAACATTATTGTACATATCGTGCAGTGCAAGTCCATGTGCATGTGCTTCTAATTAGTGTATTGTCTCCATTGATTGATGGGTAGCATAAAACATGTGCAAGAGTGAGGGATGGCTGCTTCTGTTGCATTGACTTTACATTAATTAGCTATTGCGCGCACTTCTATATACTATATCTACCTTCTTAATTACTCTAAAACCAACCAGATCTATCAGACTTAAAAGCAATTCTTCTTCTTCTTCTTCTTCTTCTACATTCTTTTCTTACTCAAAAACCCAGAATTGAAGTTGCAGAGAGTTTGATCGATGGCTTGTGTTGGATTGACTTCTCTCATGCTACCATTGAGCTTGAATTTTTGCATCCCAACCACAGAGTGTCTCTTTGTCTTGACGATGAAAAGCTATTGAAATCTGTGTTTGAGAAGCTTTCTTCTATGGAAGCCTTTCTGAAGGAAGAATACAACAAAGCTGTGGGTGGTGGTGCTCCAGTCCGACGACATCTGCTAAACAAAATCAGAGACTTTCATTACTACAGAAAACGGATTTAACGTCTACATTATAACGTCGGTTTTTTGAAAATCCGACGTTAAATATTTAAAATTATTTTTTATTTTTTTAAAAAATACATATGACGTCGGTTATTTGGTATGGCCGATGCCGTATATTAAATAAAAAATAAATAAAAAATAAATACGAGATACGACGTCGGCGTTATACGTTGCCGACGCCGTATCTCAAATAAAAAATATATATATATATATATGGTATACGGCGTCGGCGACGTATATCGCCGACGCCGTATACTTGAATTTAAAAAAAAAAATAAATAGTAGATACGGCGTCGGAGAATTAATCTCCGACGCCGTAATTCTCCGACGCCGTAATTCTCCGACGCCGTATCTCTAATAATTAAAAAAAATAAAAATAAAAATGGTATACGGCGTCGGCGACATATAACGCCGACGCCGTATACTCAAATTAAAAAAAAAAAAGAAATAATAAATAGGAGATACGGCGTCGGAGTTAAGTCTCCGACGCCGTATCGTATAATTAAAAAAAAATTAAAATGGTATACGGCGTCGGCGACGTATATCGCCGACGCCGTATACTCGAATTTTTTAAAAAAAATAAAAAATAAATAGTAGATACGGTGTCGGAGAATTAATCTCCGACGCCGTATCTACTATAATTAAAAAAAAAATATTTAAATGGTATACGGCGTCGGCGTCGTATAACGCCGACGCCGTATACATAAATTAAAAAAAAAAATAATAATGAAGCGAGGTACTAGCTAGCTCAACATTTTCAGATCGGCGCTCAACATTTCACTCCAAATATTTCACTCCTCAGCTTACTGCTCCAAACGCCCTACGCCACCGATGCTCTCCACCGCCGCCTAAGCCGTCGTCCACTGTCGTCGGCCTCGCTCTCCGCACGTCGACGTCGTCCTCGGCCTCGCTCGCAACAGTGCCGTCGTCTTCGGCCTCGGCCTCGCTCGCCGTCGTCCTCGCCGTCGCCCTAAGCCGCCGTCCTCGCCGATATATATTAAAAATGGTTTTATATATATATATATATATATATATATATATATATATATATATATATATATATATATATATATATATATATTATAAATTAAAAATGGTTATGTATATATATTTTTTGAATTTTGAATTTTATATATTATTATTGTGTATATTTTCGAAATTTTAGGAATAATTGTGTATATATTTAATTTTATAAGTTAGTGGGTCAATTATGAATTGTTGTGTGTATATGTGGAATTTTATGAAATTTTGTTTATATATTATTGTGTATATCTTGAAATATTATTATTGTGTATATAAAATGATGTTGTTTTGGACCAAGGCCCACCATGCTAGGTGAATCTTGGTCCATAATTTGCCTTTTTCAAGTATATAACTTACCAAATAATTTAAGTGAACAAGCTAACTGTATAATACATGATGATGTTATATATTGAATATATTGCACTAGTTGATACTTAATATAAAATGATGTTGTTTTGGACCAAGGCCCACCATGCTAGGTGAATCTTGGTCCATAATTTGCCTTTTTCAAGTATATAACTTACCAAATAATTTAAGTGAACAAGCTAAGTGTATAATACATGATGATGTTATATATTGAATATATTGCACTAGTTGATACTTAATATAAAATGATGTTGTTTTGGACCAAGGCCCACCATGCTAGGTGAATCTTGGTCCATTTTTTTTTTTTTTTTTTTTTTTGAAAGCTACTGGTTCTATTACATTGTAGTATCTGTTCATATACTTTCTCAACCTACTGAAACACAAAGAACCAATAACGCCTCCACTGAGGCTCGAACTCATAATCTTCCAAATGGAAGTCCAACCCGGATACCATTAGACCACATAGTCCTGGTGGTGAATCTTGGTCCATAATTTGCCTTTTTCAAGTATATAAC